AGCTCCAACTCCTTTCACCACACCCTGCTCAAGGCCTGGCGTAGGAGGGGAAAGGTAGGATAGAGTGTCAGTCAAGAGGATTACCCTTCCCCTACTCTGTTCTCTCTTCCCCCGTCACCGATTTCTGACCGCTGTCGATCCTATCAGGGGTCCATAAAGCAAGGAGGACTCTGGCCCAGGAAAGGGGGGTAGGGGTTAGGCAAACAGGCCAGGGAGGCAGTTAGTTGAAATTTAACCACAATATTCTTGGTCTCTATTGTTTTGAGTGAGGCCCAATATTTCCACAGCAGGATTATAGGATCTGATTAACCATGTTAGACAACAATGCCCGAGCTGGGATGGGCTTCCCCTTCCAGCTGCCAATATGAAAAAGTAAATACAACAGCCAGATTTCAGAAGGGACTCCCAGCAGCCCCCAAGCCCTACTCTAACCATGCTACAGTTTTTGGCCTCAAAGTGAGAAGAGGGAGGAAGAGTGTGGCACTGCATGCTCCTTTAACTCCTGGCGCTTGGCCCGGCAGGACAAGTAATCTGGGCACAATCTTCCCAGGTGAGTCAATGGCTGTGTGCTCCCCACACCCTGAAGTTCTTCCAGTGCCTCTTCCGGGTTCCCCTATGCTGGCCCAGATCCTCAGGCACCCGTGAGACTTAGGTGCTGAGACGCTAGCACTCATTCAAAGGGTCCAAACCTGCTGGGCTCTAGGATAGAGAATGTGAGTGCAGGTAGGACTTAGCTTGGAAGAGCAACTGAGCCTTTGCTAGAATGCTTTGGTGCTACCTAATGACTTCCCAGGTGTCACGGTAGAGACATGAGACCCCAGAATAGAGAGGAAGCATAAAGGGCCACTGTAAAGCAAAGTCTCGGGAAATGAGAAAGTATGCCTCAAAGGATCTGGGATGAAAGATGGAGGTCAGATGGGCTTGTAGCTCAAGTAAAGAGGAATTCCCTTGGGTCCCTCTCCTTCACACACAGACAGGCACCTCATACCCAACCTCTCAGGGTGGGATCTTCTGAGGCCCTCTCTGCGAAAACATAGAAGAAAAATAAGCAATAAGGAACCTTCGACAAGAATAACCAGTGGCAGCTTCCAGGAGGTGATAGCAGCTAGACAAAATCCTCCCTCAAAAGCATGGGCCCCCTTCTCCTCTGGCATTTCTGTCTCTAAGTGCCTGTCATACTCCATTGCAATGTTGCGAGCCCATGCATTTACTGATGTCAGTAACAGGAACTAGAAACCGAGGGCCTTGATCTTCGAGTTTGGTGTCTTCCTTGCAATAGGTCACTTAACTCCTTTTGAATAGTTTCTTCTAGGAAAATTAGACAGAAAAACATCAGGGCAGAGCTTAGAAAAGCATGTCTTGATTGTGTCAAAACCCAGTTAAGATAAAGTTGCATCTGTTAGTAGTATAACGCCACCACAGTGATATTTTCTGAGTTAGGATTAAAAACTGACCATGTTCTCAAGGAGTATAACCTAATGTAAGGATGAAAACAAAAAGCACATGGGAAATGTGTATATAAACACAGATTACATTAATAGCGCAAATAGTGACGGGCAGGGTAAGCAGCACAGGTAAAGGGAGCATCCCACATCGTGAGAAAAGGTTATTAGGAGGATTTTAGGCTTCCCCTATTATACTCTTGGAGCAAATCTTCCTGGTTTTGTGAATAGAAGAAAATGAAGGACAAAATAATTGGAGAGAAGAAACTGCCCTGGTGACAAAGTCAAGACCAAGACTAAATCAGGACTAGAAGAGTCACCTTTTCCATATGATTATAGTTACAGTTAAGTTTAGGTTTAGGTTACGGTTAGGGTTAGGGTTGTTTTAGTGTTAGGGTTAGGGTTAGCTTTAGGTTTGGAGTTAGAGTTAGAGTTATTGTTAGTGTAAAATTTGGGTTCTGTCTAGTATTAGGGTTAGGGGTAGAATTACGGTTTGAATTAGATTTAAGTTTAGGTTAGACACAGGTTTATGGTTAGGGTTAGGGTTATGTTTTATGCTCCTTCTGCCATCTTTATAAACGGAGGATCACGTGCGAGGCTCCTGCTTTTATCTCCCAGTGGACCAGGGTGAAGGAGGAGGCAAGGGCTTCAGTAAATAGGAGGTTCGAATAAATAGGAAGGCAAGAGTTCAGATGTACCACACTGTAAAATTAAGAAGCAGGAGGGCTGAGTATGCGGGAGACAAAGCTCTCTCCTTCCCCAAGTGCTCACTGTCAGGGACCCTCATCGACCTGAGGAAGGATCTTGATCTGACAGATAGAGTCTTCCCAAGTCCAGAGCAAAGGAGCACAGCCTTCGCTCCGTCACAGTACACCCTAGGAATTCCCGGGCGAGCGCCTCAGGATGCAGTGCGAAGACAGGGACTATAGAAGCTCCTTCCTCCCTTCTCAATAACTTTACTATCCTTCAGAAACACTTCTTGGTGCGGGAGACTGGCTGACTGGCAACGGGAGAAAAGAGAATGACACTAGCAGGGTTTTCCAGGACCCAGCTCGGGCTCTGCCTTCAAGGGCTGCTGGGAAAGCCCTTCCCGAGGCCTGAGGAACGGAGGTGCTGCCCAGCTGGAGTGCTAAGGGATGAAGATTTCCAGCAAAGAGCTGGCCTGTCCTGGCGGACTGTGGGGGAGGGGTGAGCCTGCCAGCCAGGCCGAGTAGGCCTTGCAGCCTAGGTGGCGCTATTTCTCTACTTTTTAGGTCAAGTTCCTGCAGGAACTTCCTCGAGGTCCCTAGTCCTGCTCCTGGTTTGCTGGCTTGCTCGTGTAAACCACCTTATATTATTTTTTTTTCTAAAAATACTCCAAAGCAATTGAAAGAGTCCCTTCTCCCACCAGCCAGCCCTGGCCCCAGCCCCGGCCCCGGGGAGCGGGCGGGTAGGCGGGGAGGTGGGCCACTGCTTTATTAAACACAGGGAAAACTAATATTTACGGAATAAAATTTATGGAGCAGCCACGAGAATTCGACCCTTTTATGTGCATGTGGAGTGGGGGTTGGGCCAGGCTGGGGGCCTCAGGGAGGGGCCCAAGCCAGGGGGCAGGGCTGGAATACAGCCCGGCTGGGCCAATTCGTCAAGGCAGGGATTTCCCTGGAGTTGCCCTGGGACAGATGATTCTCAGCCACCACCCCTAGCTTTGGGGGATAAGAGCTTCAGGGCAAGAATGCCCGAGGCAGGGCCTCTGGAAGCAGTGTTTATCGAAGGATGTGTTTGGGCAATATCCCCATGGAGACGGCAACCTTTGGGGACAGAGTGGGCAGTGGGCGGGGAGGTCACTAGGCATATTCTTATTCAATTTTTTTCAAAAGTACACAGTCTTCTGAGAACATGAAAAAAGTTATGCTACAGGGAGTTTACTTATAATTTTGGGGGATTCACAAACCCCTGATCCCCCTATGATTAAAAAATGCCTCCTCTGGAGTGCTCTTAGGACAGGGGGATTATCCAGGGTGAATAACCCATATTTTCTCCCAGATTGCTAGGAAAATCTTTCCATTTTCCACGTGGTCTCATGTCTGGTAGATCCTGAAATCTAGCGATCTAAATTCTGCCAAAAAGAAACTAAAGAACAAAGTGAGCCATCTATAGATTGTTTTTACTTGGTTCCCAACTCACTTCAATGACAGTTAAGACCGTGGGACGCACCATGGGACACTGTGGTCTGGAGATAAATTAAGTTATCAGCGGCAACTAGGAATGAGCCCCAGTGGAGCTCTCGGACTCTGCCAGCAGGTAAAGGCACGGGGTAAGTCTTGGATTCCTCAAATGCTCCTGAAGAGTGAATGGGGAATAGACATCTTATTAAAAGGAGGTCATAGGAGAAGGATGTTACAGTAGAAGATAGGAAAGAAGAACCTGACATCTTTCTTGGAAAATGTTTTCAGTAATATACAGAATAACACAGTTGAGAACTTAGCTGTCTAGGTTCAAATTCTGGCTGTTATTAACTGTGTGACATTCGATAAGTCACTTAATTTCTTCAAGACTTCATTTCCTAGTGGGTTAACAGTATCTTCCTCATATGATGCTGTGAGGATTCAATGTCAGGTGCTTCTTAACCTGGTATACAAAAACTGCGCAATAAAAGTTACTGTTGCTCTTATTATAATCATTATTATTCTATTATTGCTTCGATTGTCCACTCTCCTGTGACTTGACATCAGGACAGAAACACCTGTCTTAGCTGGAGAGGATGTGAGGATGAGGAGGCCCTTGACCATCACATGCAAATAAATCAGAAAAGGCCTCTGTAGGTTCTGCCCCTGACTCCTTCCTTCCTCTACCTAACAGTAGGACAACAGCTTCCAGTTAACATCTGAGTTCTACTTTCCTTCCTGTCTCTGCAAGGTGAAGTTTCAGATGGTCTTACCTATGAAGGAAAAGCTAGCAGAGAAGGCCAAGGGGCTTTGCCAATTCTGGTCTGCTAAATCTTGTCAGATTTGTCCGAAAAGTCAACTTTCTAAAAGTCTAAGATTCTGTCTATCTCACACAGCCTTTACATTTTTTCTTGCTAAGCATTATTGATTCTATAGGTCAATTCTGTTGTCCCTGAGAATTCCCGTGGCCACTTCCTGTTCTCTGTTGTCCTATCTTTCCTAGTTCTTGTCACTACGTTATTTGAAGTGGAGTGAAGGATGGGAAAGTAAAATCCCTTTTTCTCCCACTCCAGTGAGAAACTACCTTGGTCCTAGTGCTCAGATCTCTTTGTAACTTCAATTCCATATTGTAGTTTAACCTGTTGTCTAGGCCATGGAAACAGACAAAAGACTCCACATCATTTGGGCAAAGGAGAGCAGCAGCCATCTGTTCTGCCTTATGCCTACCAGGGAGAAAGTACTCAAGATCCAAGTTCCCGCGTGGAGGCTAAGCACAGGCCACAGCAGAGAAGCATAAGAAGAACCCGAAGGATTGGCCTGAAGGCCTAGGCTTTGTCCAGAGACAACAGTGGGGTGGAACTCGGCAAAGTGAAGTGGGTTATGTATTCCCCAGAATAAATACTCTCAAAAGCAGGGGAGTGTGAGTGTTTTTTATTCCATGCTAAAGAGAGAAGTAGGTCTCTGAGGAGCACCTGGGACTAGTAAGGACTCTTGAGAACGGTAGACAAGGTTTCCTAAGCATGTTGTGCCCTTTTACTGACTTGCCCCATCCCCTAAAGTCCACGGTAGCGTCTTAGGTCTAGAAAACCTCCACTAAAAAGGAGGAGGGTATGTGATTCCCGGAGACTAGCTTCCACTTGGATAGGGAAGGCCAATGCCCGATGGGCTGGGGCCAGAATCCCTCGGTTAAGAGTACCCATTCCAGTGGCCTGTCAACGTGAACTTCAGCGATCTTGCCTCTGACTGTATAACTGCGTCAGAGACAGCGCTATCACTGGAGCGCCTTTCAAGGTGGCATTAGGAAACTATTGTCCATGTCCATCCTCAGCAGTTGAGACAGTGACAAGTTAACCGAAGAGTCCCCTTAGTTTCTTCCTCTTGACCTTTGACAGCTGAGGTCTCTGCACAGAGCCTGAAGTATCCTAGAAAACAAGGAAGCCTGGAATTAACAGGGGTTTTGAACAGTTCCACTTAGGTTAGGAAAGGAACTTCCTCCGATGGCCCTGGTTAGAATGAGGCCTTCTTAAAGTGGCTGACACAGTGTTTTGAAGTCTACGTCAGGCAGTGAATGTGATATGAGACTCTATGCAAGAGACACACACATCCCTTCTCTCCCAGGAAGAGCCTCACAGGCCGTCACTGAAAGTGGGATAACGTAGAAAAAAGTCAAGGCCCATCATTCAGTACAAGAACTGCAGAAAAGAGACAGCAAGAGGAGATGTAACAAACCCTGACTCTCTATCTAGAAAGCCATGATTCGGAAGCCTGGTAACAAATATCCCACATTAATTAAGGCAGCATCAGCTAGGTGGTGATTCCAGGGACCGCTGGCTTGGGAAACAGCAGTTCACGCCTCCAACTCTCAGAACGCCATCTAGGAAGCTGCTCACGACTCACTGTGGGCTCAGGCACCGGGAGGGGTGGTGCTGAGGAAACAGGCTCTTCTGGCTGGTTCAGAAGCTGGCCATCGGTTCCTTGCATGGAGGTACTACTTGAGGTCTGAGGATCTGAAATCAGAAAGATCAAGTGAAGACAGTGATAAATGCTTTCTTATCAGGAAGACATCAGCGTTTACCAAGCATTCAGATAAAGGCCAGGGGTTGGTACTAATATGTAAACAGCAGTAGCCACAAATCCAACTTCCAGCTGATTTCTGAAAAGCCCTGTTTCTACTATGAAGAGTCCCCAGGCCCACTTTTGAGTCAGGTAGACAAGAGCTTCCCTGACTCAAAATAGCCAGCTGGTCCTCTGCGCTTTTCCTGGCAGGTCTCAGGGAGAGTCCTCTTTCTCTGGGTTCCCTGGCTGACCCTCCTGGGTGCCTAGGCCAGTTTAACAGAACCTTCTGCGGTGGTGGCAATGTTCTGTATCTGCACTACTTGGCTTGGTAGCCACTAGCCACAGGTGGCTGTTGAGCTCTTGAAATGTGGCTAGAGCAAATGAGGAAATAAAATTTTCATTTTATTTAATTTTTATTAATGTAAACTTAAATAGTCACAAGTGGCTAGAGTTACCACAAACCTATTAAATAGCACAAACCTAGACCTTAACTCTAACCCCAAGAGACCAAGTACTCTTGGAGCTACTCACCAGTGCCTTGATGCTTCTGCCTCACTTGGACCTCCTGTCTGGTAACTGCCATATAGAGATTCTGTAGATTTGTGACAAAGGGTCTTCCTTCACCAACACTGCATGCCTCTGGAAGTTTCTACAGGGGAGAGGAGATGCTGTCATTTGTTACGCTGTATTGCCAGAGAAAAGGGACTTAATATTCCACTGGCAGAATTGGCATCAACCCCTCAAAAGAATTTATATAAAGAAGTTAGATCTCAAATAGGGCACCCATATCCAAGCCTGTTGGGACCAATATATAGACCTCTTGGGAAATCTTCTTCTCTAAAAGGTAACTCTAAAGTGTATCTTTATTTCTTCCAATACTTAGTCTATTATGTTTTCTCATAAATACCCCATAGGTCTCTAGGCTCTTTCTTCCAAAGACATGACCTTGTAGAGGGCTGTTTCAGGAAATCACCTTCCTTAAATTGTCCCTAAGCTGTACAAATTATTATTTTAATGAAATTCGCTCCTAAACTTCCATACCAGAGAGGAAAATGAGAAATGATGAAATCCAGGGTAAGAGAGAGAGAAAAATATGGGAATGACAGACTAAGGGACAAGAAAAATTAATGGAGTTGTGACGTTCAGTCAGAGGAGGTGAGAGAAATAAAGTTTCCAAAGCTTCGGAGGCTTACCTGACGTTTTCTATTCCCTATTGCAATCCTACTGTGCTTATTATAATCTATGAACTCACAATGGGGGTGATACTCCTCCTAAGGGGGATGAAAATTAGTTCTTGGGTGGGGGTGGTGGTGAAAAAAATCTTCTCTTTTAAAGTATAAAGTACAGATATACATAAACATAAACAGAATTTTGGTATGTCTTTCATATTATAATTTCCTGAGGGGTGTTAATTAGGAAAAAATGTCTTAAGGGTTCTTTAGGGAGGTGATAATGAAAAAAAGGTTGAGAAACACTGTTATTTTCACATTATATTTATGTTTCCTTCAATACAGAATGAACTGTAGATTTATGTTTATAGCAAAGTGCTTTGCCTAGTTTGACTTTCATATTTTTGGCTGAACTGAGTTGAAATAACGTTGAAGACCGAAGGAAGTGCAAGAAAAATGAGATGAAAGAGTATGGTACCCAGTGGTCCCAAACCTGGCTGCACTTTAGAATCCTGGAAAGGGCCCAGAACTACTTCATCTGTCCCTATGCATGCAAATCGTTACGCTTCCCAGCCAAGTTAGCAGGTCTCCCACGAAGAAGTGCCAGCAGCTCATATGAGAACTAAACCAAGAATCTTGGATTGGCCCATATCTCTTGTCAAGGGCACTTTCTCTGGGCTACGGGGCATTCATTGCTGAAAACCCACCGTGGAAGAAGAACAGAAGAGAGAAAGCGGGAGAAGCCGTGAAGTAGTTGCTAAGCCAGGGTCAAGATGACAGTTATCTTTCTCTGAGCACGGTGAAAAACTTGTTGAACCTTAGGAAAAGTAGCATACACGTTTCTACTCCAACCCAACTCTCATAAAAGTTATACCAGTCTTGGACTTTCACTGCAAACCACAGACAATGAATCAGAAGCCCTGAGTCCAAACTTTACTTCCAGCCAGTAAGCACGCTAGCAGTAAAACAGCACTCCTCAGCAGCATTACCTGAGGAATGAACTGAAACAGGAAAGGTAAACTATCAGGCCACACACCTCCACCTCACCTCACTCTCCATCCAGGTTTGCCTCTCCCCAAGCCACCTCCTCCCACACAAAGTCCTCTACTCCACAGGCAGAGAGCCTTGACAGTGGAGAGGCCAACAGCTCTTCTCCTTCCTCATATCTCATGTCTCTAGGATCTCCCTTCATACTGCTCAAGAGATGTGGCCTCTCTCAGTGTCATCCATACACAGCTTGGTAGGCACTGTTCTGTTTGTATAAACGGGCTCGGCAGAATCTAGGCAGTCCAGGGTCATTGCCTCCTGCCCCTTCTTTGGAACTAAACAGACTCATAAATTTCCCAGGGTGATTTTTAGCCAGCTCAGGTACTTAGTCTCAAAATGAAGTATGAGAAATGAAAGGCTGCTAAAGCCCGTGCTGTCCCGGACCAGAGTCCAAATCTAGAGCCTATGTATTAGCCCACCCTCTGTCTTCCCGCTTCTCAGAGAGCTCTGGTCCTACAGTTGCTGCCAAAGGTTATCCTACTTGAGTATACAGTCTCAGAAAAGTACTAGAAAAAGAATATTGGTATATTTGCTGCGTATTTACTGCATGCAATGCACTGTTCTAAGTATTTCATGTATTAACCCATTCTTGTCTTATTCACTGCTATTTCCCTGGCACCTAGAATAACCTGGCCCATTAGTAGGGGTGCAATAACTATTTGCGAATGAATGAACATGGTAGGCAATAGTACAACCTCATTTTCGTGAGGAAGCCACGGATATTAAGTGGTGGAGTAGGACTGGAATCCACAGAGTCTGGCTTCAAGGCCTTCATGTATTAACCCATTCTTGTCTTATTCACTGCTATTTCCCTGGCACCTAGAATAACCTGGCCCACTAGTAGGGGTGCAATAACTATTTGCGAATGAATGAACATGGTAGGCAATAGTACAACCTCATTTTCGTGAGGAAGCCACGGATATTAAGTGGTGGAGTAGGACTGGAATCCAGAGAGTCTGGCTTCACAGATATAAAAAGTACCCTATTTACTTCTCTGAATATCAGGATTTTAGTCAAAAGGGAAATATGGCCTTTACCAGGATCACTACCCTCAACCTGTTACATCGCAGATCATCTGCCTACATTCTCATCCAGCCCAGGAACAAGCTCCCTCAGGTGACAAGAAAAAAGTGAACAGATGAAAAAAGAGGCAGCTGGCCCTACCTGGAACCCTCAGGGGCTGAAAGGCCACACTCTTATCCTATTCTAGCTGGTCCCCGTCATCCCTGATTCCTTGGGCATCATCTGCAGAATATACTAGGGAAGAGAGGTGAAGAGGCCCGAGTGTGGAAAAGAGGAAACTTTAGCTCCCTGTGCAGGACAATGGTGAGGGCGAGCTGGGGCAACTGGCAGAGATCAAAGAGAGAACGCTAGAGTCAGGACTAAGAAAAGCAAATAGCAGGGCCTCCTGCTTTAAGTACAACTGAGCCAGGAGCAAAGTGTACCAGCCACAAAGCGGGTCACTGCCCAGAGTGGGGAGGGAAAGAATACTGTATAATGTGTTCTGCTGTATAATGTGTTGAACTGATTAACCCAGAATCAATTCTACTGAGCAAAAAAGTTGAGATACCGACTCAACTTTGCCAGGCACTACAGGATTGGGGGAGGGGACAGAGATGTACCAGGCCTTCCCTCCTCAGAACAGGACTGAGTTCGTACAGAGATGAGGAAGTCAGAGTCGCTGCCTCAAAGAGTTTATATGTACATGTGTGTGTGTACTTTTTATTTATAATATAATACAATACAATACAATACAATACAATACAATACAATACAATACAATACAATACAATACAATATATATTTTTCAAGCATTATGCTATAACAGAGTTATAAACAAAATGTAATAGGAAGAAACCCAGAGAAGAAGAAAGAGACAAATTCTGACTGAGAGTCCAGCAAAAAGCTTCAGAGGTGGTGGAAGTATCTGAAGCATAAAGATAGGCTGTGTGGACACATCTCATGGGAAATGAGACCAGAAGGCTAAATTCATATCCACTAGTTTGCAAAGGACTTCGTTTTCTGAATTAAGGATATGCCCATGGGAATGTCCTTTTGTTTCACAAAGCGGCTTTCTCTACTATACTACTGCTTGCCAAGGCTGCCTTGGCTCCAAATTAATATTGATACGACAATGAGGAATCGGAAGCTTCCTCTAGGTTTCCCTTTTGTAGGCTTTCTGCTACATTTACGTAAATTCTTTTAGTACTTCTTCGCTGCTTACTGCTAGTACTGTCAACTGCCACAGGAGCTATATTACTCTCCTGTCTCCGAGAGTTATTTTACTCTCCCATCTCCAATCCACTAAGAGTTTGGCTTCTGCTATACAGCCATATCAGAAGCTTTAGAAAAACCAAAGTTACAGAAACCCTGCAGGGCATTTTATTTGCCCTCTTGTCCCTACTGCAGTCCATCTTGGTTCCTAGGGGCCACACTACCCTCTTAGCAATAACTCTCATCTTCATCAGGTCTAAAATTTGTTCCCAGTGGTCCAGAAATTCTAAGACTCCTTCCTACTCTCTGATCCCACCCATCAGGATCTGTTGGAGAGATCCCATTGCCATTTTCAACTAGAAATAAGAGGTCTGATCCTATCCTACCCCCACCTCCATCTCATCCCTCCTTTCTTCTGGGGCTGTTTTCAGAAAAGAAACCTTTGTTTTTTAGGCTGGACCCCAATACACTGCTCACCCTACTCAATATAGGCCCACAGGCTGAGGATACAGATTTCACAGAAGAAAAAGGGAAAACGAACAAAGTGGAGCTTCTCATCATTAGCCTCGAGCAGGACTTTGGTTCTGGCATCAGCTCCAGAAGCTGGCACAGCCCTAGAAGCTGGCACAGCCCCACGTCCCTGACACTGACCGTCGCAATGTTACAATCACAAGGCAGGGCCCTCAAAACATGGCTTCCTAAGGGTAAGAACTCTTCTCCCATCCCCTGCAATCTGGTAAACTCTGCTGGTAATGGATACCAACTTCCTCCTCGGGAGGCCCAAGCCTCAGTTTAGGAAATCATCATCAGCTCCCTTTAGGAGTAAGAACACGTTGAAAACCCTTCTGAGGTCTCCAATTACCAAAGGGTTACCAAGATAAATAGAAAAGAACAAGAAAAATGGTTTGGGAGGGGACTCTAATGAGAAAGACTTGTCAAGAAACAGAACTTCTGCTCCACCAACCCCCCCCCTGCCCCGCCCCAATCCATCCATTTACCAACTATTTACTGACCATCTAGATGTGGAGCAATGGAGAGAGATGATGGAGGTGAGACTAACAACATCTACGCCACAGAGTTCGTGAAAGGATTAAATGAGTGGAGTAAGTAATCAAGAAATGTGTCCTTTCCCTTTGCAAGACACACTGAGATCCTTCTTTCCTGGCCTCGGTCCATTGCCAAGGAGGCTCAAGAAATGCCCTAATGCTATAGTGCACAG